TTACTTACACATTGCTTGATCGCCATTGTTATTTCCACCTTGACTATAACCGACGCCAACATCACTACCTCCAATTTATGCAATAGGTTTATTACTCTCAATCTTTGAGTAATTCCTAGGTTTTTCATTACTCTCGGTAGTTGAAGAAGCATAATATACATGACAAAAAATAGTTATCAAAAACACAAATTTACAAAATAAAAAAAATACAAAGTCGAAAAAACATGAAGACTTACAAATTGTTCTTTTTATCTAATTGTATAGTCAAAATTTAATTTTTTTAGGCATGACGCTTTGTTGTGGCGTTGTTGATAGCGAGTTAAGCATCTCGTCTTCAAACCCTTCCTTAACAGTTTGGTACCACTTTGACTTGGCTCTCTAATTTCTTTAAATATGTTATTCTTAGGCCTCTTTGGTTCTTTCTCTCATTTTTTAATGATTGCATGCATGCAATGGTAATATGGTATTCTTGAAAGTTGTCAACCCTTACATGAATATGTCTTATCAGCAAGCTTAATCATATACCCTTCCGTTGCTCCATACTTTTCTAATTTCATAACTTTAAACCTCATTCCAATACACGTACAAATTATCATAACTCACAACTTTATTTTGAAATAACTTTTTTTTAATCCTATTACCAATCTATTTGTGTGTCTACTCTCTATCATCGTGCATTTTATTCATCGGTTGTAACTCGATCTACTCAAGTACCGATAGGATTGATAAACATCTTGCTTCTATAATTGCCCCATTGAGTGCTTCGTTAAGTTTATATCCACAATATCACATCCAGTTACACTAAAAAAGAATTCCCTACATGGTTTCTTGGATGTAGCTCTTGTCTCATCGTTAGGTAACGGATCATCCAATGTGGGATCTATTAGACAATAAAAAAAGAGATTGTATCGATCAAACTACCAAGTTTAAAATAACACACACACACACACACACACACACACACATATATATAGTTAAATTACCTTGTGCTTGGTCAATAATGAACACTCAATCCTTTTCTTGATCAATAATACCCAAGTCTAAGATGAGCAACTCGGATAAACTATATACACGTATCTCTTATCTCTCTAGTAATAATTGTCCAAACTACCGAAAATATTTGATTATTTCCATCTCTTTCTATAGAGATTAGCAACTCTCCTTTTACAATGCTTTTCAAAAAGCATCCATCCAATTCTAACATCCTCCTATAACTAGCCAAAAATCCTTACTTGTAATAATTAAATGATATATGCTTTCTATAAAAAACAGAATCAATATTTGGGAACAAAAGAGAGGTCACATCAATATAATAAGGTGAAGTTTTAATATTTAGTTTTTTTAACTCCAAGCGATAATCATGTAACTTAACATTCTCTATCCTATAACCTCCCTTTAATTTCTCCAACACTTTCTCTCTAGCTCTTATATATTTGGTAAATGTCACTTCGGTATGAAAATCATACCTCATAAACTCGCCTTAAATCTTTAAGTATGATAGAATTCGTTGCTCTCGTTTCACCAAAATAATTTTTAACTAACCATGTATTAGTTAGCCTTTTGTTTATATTCACGTAATTGCATCTATGTTCATCATGCACTCGTTTTAATTTGGAATGTATTAACAATCGAAGTTATAACGGTATAAATTCTTTATGGATAACTCTGTGACTACACACTTAACATTAAATTTATCTTTGATATTCTTTTCAATTTTTATATCCGTCCCGCTTAGTACCGTATAATCATCAACTTCTTTTTCAATTCTTGTTTATTCTTGAATATCATGCCCAACACAAATTAAGATGTCTTTGGTTGATCTTTTTTTAACCTTTTAAATATGCTCTTTGTCTTAGCAACATGATTTTCATCATCTTCATTATAACTAACATTATCACCACTTGACCCAATATCATCTTTTTTCTCATCTTTTACATCCATCCCTTCAAAAGGATCTAGTTTAGGTCTTTCTATTCCACCTTATTTTACGTACTTAAATTTCTTATTTCTTTTAGTTTTTAAATTCCATCTTGCAACTCTTCATCATCATCATCACTAAAAATAAAATATTATTCAAATTTGTTTCCTCCCTATCTTCATTACTAATAATGGCGAGTATCCTCGTCACCTTTTATTTTTCTATCTCCATCCATAGCGAGTCTTGTATTTTTAATATTCACATTATATAATTTTTCACTACCTCCTACTCCAACTTCAACTACATTTTATTCCGCATCTTCAAAACGTCATGATAAACTCATAATTATCTCATCAACTATTTCAACCCTAATATCAACAACCATACGTCTCTCTTCAATAGCCGTAACTCTCTCTCCCACACCTCCAACCACAATTACAACTACATCATCATTATCTAAATCCATATCAATAGTCTTTACCTCAACATAATCAGCCATATCATCATCAACATTATAAGCCATGTTATTATCATAATTATCACCCATATTGTCATCAACATTATCAACAAAATCAGCATTTTCATCTAAATTATTTGCATTATTAGACATATTTTCATTAACATATTTAGGGTTATAAAACTCATTCACACTAATATAGACATAATCAACAATTTCACTCCCATCCACATCAAACAAATCCGGAGAACTCCGTATGGTCTACAAAGACTTAAATTGTCTCGTACTCGATTGATTATGTTGCCTATTTCTATTGAGCATCCATCATTCAAAGCAAACTTCAATCCTTATGACAATCTCATGCCGGAGACTTTATACCAAACCCTAGAAACATCAAAATCACCCAATTTACTAGGCCGTTCATTTTTAAAATCAATTAAGCTAACATCGTTAGGATCCACTTCTTTTATTATTTTTTTACCCATAATATAACCCATATCATGTTGGTATTGTAAACACCCATTATAAAGATACTTAACATAACCCATAGTTTTGCTAAAAATAACAAAAAAAAAAAAAAAGCAAGAAGCTTGATCACTTTTCACAATACAATAATGAGACAAGGTTGAATATTCGTTTTCTAAAAAGAACGACTTCACATATAGAGGCATAGAATAAAGAGAGAAACATAGATAAACATTGAATAATTTACTAACCCTAACTATACTACCCACACGAGAAAACAAAATACCCCATATTATCCTGTCATTAATGCTTAAAAACATTTACCCAATATTATTATGAAAATAATCAAACAACCAATTAAATAAAACAAGATTGAAGATTCATTGTGTTAACAAAACTATATAGTTTCTCCATATTGATATCTTTTTTTGCTTCTTTCCTTCCTCAATTTTCCTTTTTCCCCTCGTTTCTCACATATTTTTGTCCTTTCGATCAATCTAATCTCACTAAGAATACAAATTTTATTGAACTAATTTATAGTTTTTCCTTTTCTCTCTCATCTCGAAGAAAACGAACAATCTCTCTCTCTCTCTCTCTCTCTCTCTCTCTCTCTCTCTCTCTCTCTCTCTCTCTCTCTCTCTCTCTCTCTCGTGTCTCCTCATAAGTCGCCAACTAATTCATTTAATTATTGTTTTTTAATTAAATTTAAACGACATGTTTAACTTTAAACCCCGCCCAAATTAGTTTTTTTTCTTTCCAACTCAAATTTCAAACTAATGTTAGTTGTGGGTTTTTAATTTTTTTTTCAACGTGTCAGCCTAACCACATCTCTTAGTGAACACATCAACAAGGTTTGTCTCGGGGAATATCAAGTACCGAAATAGAAAAAAAAAATCGAATGTTGGGTAGTTAATCAAGAGAAATTAATGGTTGGGAACCAAAAAATAAAAATAAAAATCAAAGGTTAGGTACCAAAAAGTTTTTTTTTTTATCTTTTAGATAATTAAAAAATCTAGGCATAAAATAAAAATTAATTAAAACTAATTATGAGAATTTATTTAATTTAATATATATTATGCAATGTATATATATGTTGCATAATTAAGTTTAAATATATCCTAGATTTTTTTTTGTCAATATAAAATAAAAAAGAAAAAAGAAAACTTGTAATTAATTACTTGTTTTTTAAAAATAATTATATTATAAGAGTGTTTAATTTTAATTAACGAGTCTATAGAGAAAATAAAAAAAATAACCATTAATCATGAAAAAAATATTTTGAGTAAATAATAAAAAGTAAAAGCTTGGATGCAGAAAAAGGAAAATTTTTATTTTGAGTAAATAATAATTAACGAGAAAAAAATAAAAAAGCATAAAAAAGAGAGAGGTTTGGCTGGCCTAAAAACATGCTCATCTGTATGGGATTGGCCTAGAAGCATAGTCTAGCCATAAAAAACATAAAGACCTACCTATAACAAAAAAATAATTAAAGAATTTGTAAATAAAAAGATAAAAATAAAAAAAAATTGACAAATTGATCCAAAAAATTCAATTTTTTTTTTTTTTTGGAAAAATGATATTGTTTTAGGTCAAAAAAATTCAGAAAAACGTCATTTTTTATTCACTGTAACGGAATTTATTATGGAACCATATATTGTTTTAGATTATTTATAGTTTTTATTGAGATGGTGTATAGCATAGATAATAGCTATTGATACGAAATAAAATAAAATAAAATAAAAATTCAATTTAGCTTTTTATCCAGCAAATAAACCCTAATAAAAAAATTCGTGGACCATCCGTCAGCTTAGTTCAACTGGATTGCATTATAAACAATTTGTCACATTTTGTTTACAATTTAATCCAATTGGATCGAATGGACAAAAAGTGAGGAATACAGGGTATATTGAACAAAATATATTCCATAGGGACTGATTTAACTAAACGACACAAGCACAAGGACTAAATGACGGGGGTGTTATCCAGTAATCAAAATCAATAGATTTCAGCACATTTGCTTTTCTTCGTCAGACCAAGACACTCCGTTTTAGTGACAGACAGATTCCCATACGATTAGACACAGGATTGAAAATCAAAAGCTTTAAAACCCTAGCTAGCTAAGCTACTTCAAATTTGAAAAAAAAAAACCTACAGCCAGCCATGGAAGATAGTTTCAGCGTCCGAGTCGGCAAAGTCTTTGGCTCTCTCTCTTCTTCCTCTTCTTCTCCTTCTTCAACAGTAGAAACCCAAAAATCCTCCTCCTCTTTAAGCTCTCCATGGAGTCTCACTGGCGAAGAAATCGAGCGAAACCAATGGAATCGAGACCACAAGGATAGCCCCGAAACTCAAACCCAAACCCAACCCCAACCATACTTTAATCCAGAAAGACCCGACGATATGGATTTCAAGTCGGAGATCGAAAAAGACCTTGATGATTTAGATGACGACGTCGAGGAGGAGGAAGAGGAGTCACGTGCCTTGAAACTCAAACCTGAGGATTATAACGATGAAGAATGGGACATCAAGAAATCTATTGGCCTGGATTGTACTCTTGATTACGAGGTGTTAATTAATTGCTACTTAATTATGTGTTCCCTCCTTGTTTGTTGATTCTCAATTTATCTTGCTGCTGCTATGTTTCGTAATCAATCAATCAACTTTTTTTTCTTTTTTGAAGATAGAATTCATACATACATGGTGCAATAATATATTTCTGAAGGTAATCTAGGCTTTGGCTCCGACATAAATGCAATGGGGTAACCCCTACATGTGTATGAATGGAAAAATTAATAATAACAGTAATAGTACTTTGGGAGGATCTATGGAGCGCAATTACTTATGTAGGATTGTGGATGGATAACTTCATATGGTTGTCTAGAACTTGACAGAAATCTGATTTTCTTTCTTTGGCAGGAAGAGGAAGATCAGTATGACAAAGTGGCCGTTGGGAGGGAAAAGGCTAGAGATGATCGCCTGTATGTGACTGAAATGAACGATTATGGTATAGATGTAGATTCTGGCAATGTGATGCCCAGTTCATTTGGGGATGTTACTAAGGATCCGCGTGCTAATCACCTTGCTGCAAAAATTAGGCTAAAGGAAGATGCAGAAGCAGCTGAAAAGATGGATTCTTTGCAGGTTACTGTAAAGGAAAATATTAGCGTATCTGGTGACGGTAATCTGAAATCTATTCTGAAGAGGAAGAAGGATGTTCAATTGGATCCCAAGTCGATTAGTAACCATTTGGATTCGAAGTTACAAAAGCGTGTTCGGTTTGACCCGGAATGCAAAGATGGTAATGATGAAGAGTCTGATGGAGTTGAAGACACACAGATGGAAACCAATGATTCAACAGATGAAACATTGGCATATCATTTGCCTCCAGATTATCCTTCTGGAATTCCAGATTACATGCGAAATCCTTCCAAATATACGCACTATACTTTTGACACATCGACTGATGTGGATGAAGAATCAAACCGAGGAGCATACATGGACTTCCTCAAGATGCTGCAGAGACCAAAAACAACAGAATCACATCCAGATGATGTTCCAGTTGATCTGTCAAAGCCGCTCACCTTCATACCAAAAAGGAAAACCGGTGTTGCTACAGTGACTGATAACTGCATTGATTCTAAACAAAACCAGGATGATGCCAGTGAAGGTTTCAAGCTTAGGAGAGGGGTAGCTCTTGGGATTGCAGCTGGTGATGATAATGATGCTGAAACTTGTGCCATGGAGGAAGATAGACCAGCTGATAAGACTAATTCACGCAGACCAGGACGCCATTATAGGACAAAGGCCAAGTCAGAGACATGAGTTAACTTGAACGGTTGAACCCCCTGCCGTTTACTTGGACATGATAACTTTCATTTTATTGTAAACAGACTGAATTTACTTTAACACATCTTCCTATGGTCCCAACTAAAGTACTTGTACGCTAAATGTCTCTAACTTGAGTACTTGTATGCTAATAATGTACTGGTTTCTAGCCCATATTGTATTTTAGAATTGATGCTGGCAAATTACGTGACATTCTACAGCTGGGTGGCATAATTTGTCACGTATTTCAGCTTTGTTGAGGATTGGCCAAAGAATAATTCCACCTCTTATGAAGTATGAACCCCTCAAACATACTTCCATTGCTTGCTGCCTTAGGATATTCGATCAAAATGATAATAACAGAGTAGTTGTCTGAACAGCACATTAGGATATTCGTTCAAAGTTTGACATATATGCAGCGAATGAGTAGCATAATTTAGCTTGAACAAGGTTCTAAAATCAAATGCACTTAAAGCATGTCAACAACCACACTGGGAATTATCTGCAAATCAACTAGGAATGCAAAACCTTGTACTACAGGGTTGTGGAAGCAGTAAAAATTTCAGAATTTCCAAAAGCTGCACTGATAATTATAAAGCCATCATTTATATATATAATTCCAGAACAATCACAAATGCCCTATAACATAAAATTTCCTGTTTTATATCTTCATTACTACAAGCTATAATTAACGAGTCGGACTCGATTCAGACATTGTAATAGATCCGAATCCAATTTATCTAGTAAAATAAATCTAATTAATTCTTATGAATTCTAATTAAGTTTTAAAAATATAAAATTAGATTTAGATCATAACAGACTAAGATCAAATTAAGTTTTGAAAATGTAAAATTGATTATTTATTATCACTTGATTTTTATAGAAAATTTATGATTACTACATTTTATGTATTATTCAAATACAAAAAATATTTCAGTTACTACATATATAATAAAATAGATTAAAATAACATTTCATTTGTCGATTGTGTAAAAAATTCAAAATAGCACAAAATACAAAAGTACAAAATCAAAGTCTTAATAAAAATTTGTATTGAACTAGATAAAAAATGTTATTAAATTAAATCATACAATAAATAATCTTTATTTCTTATTCATATGACATCAAAAATAAAGTAATGACAAATATAATAACACAATCTTAAAAATATATACAGATCAATTTATAATTTTTTTCACCAAATTAAATTTAAAAAATGACAAGAAATTTATGTATTTTTTTCTAAATACAATCATCACTATTAAATGATATACATTAATTAAAATTTACAATTAAAAAAAAACCAAATATTAATTTTTATATATTTTTTTTCATATTTAAATTTTTGCTATTTTTAATTTTGAGTCGGATTATTATCAAATCAAATCAAGATAAATCCAAATTTAATCCATTTGATAAACAGATTAACAAATACAGAAATAAAAAAAAATTGTTTGTCATATCCATTTAATTACATTAAATTCGGATCAAAATCCGATCCATTTACAGACCAGGATTGAAGTCAGCATAAATCTCACTAAAAATGGGAAGTAATGGGGCTTTTAAGGGAATTAATGGGGCTTTTAAGCTGCATCAGTTAATATTTTTCAACGGCAGCAGTATGATGTACCCTGTATTGACCAATTGTCACATGTACACTTCCTTAGTGCAGGGCAAAATTTCCCAGTATGTATATCAAAAGAGCAGGATGGTCAATCTGGATGCACAAAAACAGTTTGACCAACTACAACTAAAACAAGCGCTTCCTACAACCTGCTGCACCACAGTAGCAGGACATCTGAATTATTTTTCCATCAGGTCCAGAGACGCTATCCAGGGCATAGCCATAGTCATAAGTAAGCTCCTATAAGTAAGCATCAAAACTGCTAAGTTACTATGAAATGCAAAAGATTTACAAAATTAACTGACTGCAATAAACAGAGACCTTATTAACCTATAAAGATAAAAATCGACAAACTGACTGAATATGTCTTTTAGAGTCAACCTTTTTGTTACTAAGATAAATCCAAATGAGAGGACCAAAACAGTCAATAGTTCTAGCCTATCACCTAGTTCCACCTGTGAGGGTAAAACACCATGAATCCTTTCAAAGATGGCATCCATCCAACGCATGAAGCCACAAAGGTTAAAAGGTCTTTTTGAGATTGATTTTTCAAAACCATACTTTATTGTTCTTGGGTTTTGAAATACATAGTTTCAAAAAGGTTAACAAACCAATAAAATGTTTTCTGACAACTAATCCCAGAAACACTCAAAATAAAGGAAAGAAGCTCCTATTTTTTGTCCAAAGTCACATAATGGATGTTATAGCAGTATGCTTTTTTGTCCCATTTCCAGTCACAACCATCCTCCGCCTTGGGTTTTAAAAGTATCTTGTGAAACCATTTGCATTCCCAAAATGATTGCAATTCTGGTTTGATGTTTTCCAGTCAAGCAATTTTGGGAATGAGAATTTCCCTCCCCTTACAGGTGGCCTAGTACTGATATCCATACAGACACAGCACCTAATTATTCTCAGCTTTAGTTAAACAGAAGAAAAAATAGAGCTTGTTTAAGGCACCCAACAAAGCCAGAGAAACAGTGAATAACCTGCAAAGGAGGTATGTTGTCTGCTGCGAATAGCATCACCCGAGCAAGTTTGACATCATGGTGCGAGCTCAGGACACACTGCACGAAGAGATTGGGCTCACAACTATGATTGATGAATCTGGCAATATTTCCAGTCGAACCTGCATCAATACAAAACTCTGGAACACTTTCAGACTTCTGATCATCTCCATCAAAGTTGTTAATTGCTGGTACCAATACATCACCTAATCGCCTCTGTTCAAAAACGAAAAAAAAGACAAAAACAAAAGAAAGCATCAGCAAAGAACATTTTGTTCGGAAACATAAACAATGACAAAGAAAACGCATATGACAAATAAACTGCAAATATTGTTGCTAGAGTATTTCAGAACTGGTGAATAATAAACTTGATTCCTCAAAGAAATTCTAATGATATGAAAGTACTTGTATATTAAAATATGCTAAACAAATCCACAAACTTGAATGGTGATTAATTTCTCATGCTATTAGCAATCATACTTGAATAATTAACATCAACTCAAAAGACAATACAATTGCCCAGTAGCCAAATATTCTAAAAGTGCCCGATTAAAAAGTTACAAACCTATAGATAATATTGCCAATTTTGCTGAGGTACTCAACTACTAAACAGAATTTCAGCTAACTTCTATTTATCAAACATTAAATGTTGACTGTATAAACTACAGGCTGCCATAGTCACAGTACTGCACCAAACCACCAGGATGGGGAATACATACAAACAGAAAAAGAGAAGGGTTTCCGGTTGCTTATTGTACCTCTCTTCCACCTAGCCCCCTCATTGTCTGCAAGCAATCGATGTCGAAAATATAATTGTTCTCGCTTACATGATCTGTGTCTTCTGTTCTCATAAGTACCCCTACGTACTCACAGACAGGTGCCCCAGCAGGTATAAAGTCCCATGATCTAACAGCCCATCCTTTCTTAGGAGTACGGAAAACCTGTCAACATTGACCCACAGAAATTTAGGAGAGGTGCGAGCTAAATCAACTTGACATAATGGAAAAGGGAATTGGCATTCTAAGAAAAATAGATATAAATGACACCTCAAGACGATGCTTGATGCCTCGTTGAGATGTTCGGTTTACACATCCAGGCCCGCATCCACAACCAGGTCCACATTCGAAAACAACAGCCCTAGCTTCAATTAGCCTGAAGGTAAAAAACAAAACAAAAGTACTATCATGCAAGAATAACCAATTAAACAGCATGTAAAGGACTCAACAATATTAGATTTGACTGAATTCTGTAAATTATAGGGTTTAATAATGCTCACCTGCCACCATGACAATGCACATATGGAAAATCAGAGCCATTAAGCTTTGCACAAGCACAAGTCCTAGGATCCACACAACTCCCCTCACAGTTGCATCCAGTCACATTTGTAGGAAGCTTTACATTTTTGGCAATTTGAAGAGACTTACGGTAGGTATAACCTGAGATTTTCAAGGATGCAAAATCACAATATTAATTCTGGCAGCATAGGTTGATGCTATCTAGAACTTCTTATGGGTCCTGATAGACCACTAGGTAAGCTAGAGCCTGAAGCCTTTTAACCTGGCTCTGCTCTTAGATTCAGGCACAACAGCCCAACTGTCCAAGTACAAAACAGTATGTTAGGGATCGGCTCAGGCTAATGCAAATAAATTTTTAATTATTTGAACCAATTTTACTCGTTCCAATTTAGTACAACTAATTACATTTTAGTATTTTGAATATTTTAATTACTTCTTTGTATACTCTCAATTTTCAAACATATTCATTTAAAACTAATTTAATGTTTTTGAAAAAAGACTAAAAGGATTCACAAAGCCTGACGTTTGTCCTAGAAAACATGAGGTTCAGGTAGGGCCAGGCACAAGCCCAGGCATTAACGTGCTTCCAAATGTAGGCTGGGCAAAAGAGAAGCAAAAAAATTTCTTGCACCTGGATTAGGCCTATTAACGGGCCTAATGTTGAGTTAGAAATGGGAAAGATTTTGAGCAAAGAAAACCCGAGTCTTAACTAGCAAAAATTTATAATTAAGATGCCAGCAAAACCATAAAACTACCACCCTATTGGTTCAACCTTACATTATTTTTTCATTCCTTTTTTTATTGATTGCTAAATCAATTATATGTTAATTATGACTTATGGGTTATATTATTTTACTGGGATGTTTGATGCTATTTTGTAATTGATTTGCGACCATTATATTGTAGGCTCAAGATTTGAGAGTAGTCACTAGAGTTACATTTTGGTTTCGATAAACAAATGGACTAAAGTGAGAAAAATTCATCAGCTGATCAAGACAAGATTGAACAGCCAAGTTTTCAACTTTTCATCTTCTACAAATCTTGTAATCTTACAGCTTTTTTCGAAACCCAAACCAATTTTTAGCAGTTAATCATGTGTTGTATATCACCACAAAAAGTAAAATATGATGAACTACTTCTTCCATAATGCAATTCATTAATTAATTAATTTAACCTTTTCATTATTCACATTTTAATTATGTCATATGTTATCTTTCACGTTTCATGTCTTTCACTTTATTAATCCTTTGATGTTTTTCAAAATTTCAACTTTTAAATACAATGCATCCTTCAATTTTTTAAAAAAGAACTTTCATCTTCAACGATTTAAAAAGTCTCAATATCATTTTAATTTCTACCCTGTTTCACATTGCATATAGTGTCATTAATTTTATTTTTTTTAATAAAATCCTCCCCCCCCCCCCCATCTTTAACTTCTTGCAATCTTAAAAACATTTATCCTGTGAAGGATAGTTATATCACAGACAGATTGATTTGTTTCAACATATCACAATAACAATGCTCGAAATTATTGTTCTTAGCAAAAGCCTAGAATTTCCTTTTCTTAAATAACAATATTCTTAAAAAGTTTATTAAATTCTTAAATTTGGATGCAGAATCCCTTACGAGGCCTTATATAACAGACTTGAGCTCTAACGAGAAATGGAAGGACAACATTGAAAAAACAAAGCACAAGGGCCTAGTGGGGCACAAACTTTAAGATTATAAACTCCCCAAAAGTTAGGGAGAGTAATTTGTGGTTAGCCTAAAATTTTTTAATCTTAAACAATGCCATTGCAAAGGATACCTATGCCAATTGTACATCTAATTTGTTGTTGCACATGAAACTAGAGCTAGGACACTTTAAACTTGCCTGCTTAACAAGCACCAAGAGAAAATCTTATTTAAGCTTTTTAATCAGCATGTTAGATCTTAAACATGTGCTGCAGAATATTGGCTTAGAGTTTGCTGATGAATCAAAAAGCACAGTCTGCAATGCTTAGATTGCAACTGTGACATAAGACTATGTTAACTTCCACTTTCACATTATATGCAGAATAGTAACGGATAAAGGTAACAAATATAAGAGTTTAACTTGCCTGATGGCGGAATAGGTGGATCATCAACCAAATTGGTAGCCGGGATTGGGACATCCTCTTGACCACCAGTAACATCCTCACACACCAATCTAAGCAAATTAAACAACAGAAACTAATCATCACTGATACTAATGCAAGAAGCAAGGAACTCTGAGTATATGATAGAATGATTTCTTCTTATACCCTCGGATTTCGGCGACAGACTGGGGAACACGTCCATAACTGAATTGAACCTGTCATAATATTGAATAAATTTACAAGCCAAGGCTGTTCAGGATAACATAGGAAAAAAAATGTATTTTGGAATGCAGAAGAGGGAAAAAAGTGATAAATAGAAGTCGCTACTACCTACGAGGATGAACAGAATCCTAGAGTTGGCTATGAAGAATATGGAGAACGATGTCAATCTCGTGTTGAGAATGCGAAGGACAAGAATTCATATAGCCAATTATCTATCCTAAACTAAAGAACTGTGGCATTTATAGATATCAATCTCGTTATTAAAATTTAAAGCCAACCACAATGGGAGAGGAACACTGATCCAGTAGGATTTTTCACAAAGGCGAAAATGAAAGAATAAAGACTAAAATCTATTTGACCATACCATGCTATCAATATGATACTGTAGAACCCACATGAAGTGCGAGAGAATTCATGATATTTATTCAAGGTCCAGCGACCCCAGAAGCAATCTGAGCTGGTACTTTGAATGCTGAACAGAGGTATTACAAATGGTAATGAAGCTGAGCTCACCTAACTCTCCTGTGGGCTTTAAGAGGGTGGCTGACGTGTGTGTGTATGAAGCGTCTTAAACTAACATGTTGACATGTCCCAGAGGTATATTAACCTTGTATCAATAGCATACCCTGTGCAAACACCATTTGTTTACGGTAACCAAGCACTAAAACAAACCACATATTTGGATTCATAGTCAACCCTGTGGTAATGGCCTAGAGCTAGTGCACCATTTGATATCAACAACTGGGAATGTGTTGCCAGCAAAAATTGCTTTTATTAAATGCACAAGCAAACAAAGAATGACATTTACCAGAGTCTACTGTGCAACAGGACCAATGAGCTGCATGAGCCTACACTGCAGCCTTTTTTGTCCAATTCAGACAATTCAAAATATAAAAAACAACTAGTCAGCCTCTCGCACTACACTGTGGGCCGACCTGTACATTTATTTCAATTTGATAGCATGTAAAATGTTATCGATCAACTAAAATAAAATAAAATTAAAGATAAAAGAAAAAACTTCATAAAATTTTACATTTTTTAATCAAAATTTTGCATTTTATTTTTTGTATGTTTTTATAAATTTTATAATTAAAAAAACACACTTTGTTATTTCTTAGCACTTTTTCTTAAACAAAAATTTATAATAATCTAAATATAAAATTATAAAAAATATCTTAATAATTTTTCCATATAGTTGTACTGAAGAAATAAAACAATAATTAATATTAAAACTTGTATAAAAAATAAAAAATAAATCTTTTTATTTAATACTGATAATTAGATTAATTTTTGAAAATATGTATAATTGATTTATACATATTTACTCACAAAATAATAAATAAGATTAGTATAAAAAATTGTATTTGAATTATTAGGAAGTTCTTCTAAAATAATATTTTAATTAATTTATTAGTATAGTTTAATTTTAAAATATTTTAAAAAATAATAAGATATGGTTGGTGTTTTGTGTGTAGATGTATAGTTAATTTTAAATAAAATCAATTATATTCATTTTTTTATACATCAAGACCATACTTAATGAGTCAAAGTGTACAACGTAAACCGAAAAATATTTTTTAAAAAAATTAAACTGTAAAAGATATATTGAAGTTAATAAAATGTAATAAAAATAACTACAAAATTGATTTCGATGAACTTTGATTATATAAAGAATAAGCAAATAAAAACAACTAACAACAATTATTCGAAAATCCATACATAAAAAAAAAAAAAAAAAAATCATTTTTGTTATAAAATTACATAAAAAAAAATGAAAAATTAATATGATGAAAATTTATATAAGAAACGACAAACTAAAAAGATTAATTTTAAATAATAAAAATAATATAATCTAATATATATATATATATATATATATATATATATATATACATTCTAAAATCTAAAATATATCATATATATTTCATAACCACCAGCTTGTGGGAAAAAAAAATAAAGATTGGTTTTTCATATTTTTCAGACCCCATTCAATGATAAAAATAATAATAATAATAATAAATTGATGAAAATAAAATAAAGGAAAAAAGCGAGGGGGGGGGGGGGGGCGCAAGGGAAGCAAGCTAATGTGCCTGGCTTCTACAGGCCCAATGCAAGCCAGATGCCTGGCCTTTGCAAAAGCAATCTAGAGGACCAAAATTTTATTTTTAAAAATGAGAGATCAAAAGAAAATGCAATGCAAGTTGCAAATAAATATCCAAAAACAACAAAAAACTTACACTACCGCCACTCTCATCCACAACAATCTGTGCTGCATTTCCCCCAATCTTTTAGTTTTTCTATTAGTCAGTTTTCCGCACTACGCAGCGAACTAAACAAAATATATTTATTTCAGTTCAATAATTTATATTATATTGTCGATCTACTAATATATATTAAATTAAAAATAAAAAATATAAATTTTATTTAATTTCATAATTTTTAATCAAAATTTGTATTTTGTTCATTTTTCTTTATGTTTTTCATAGATGTTATTGTTAAAAAAAAACATAGTTTGTTTTTTGTCATCCATTCATTCTTAAATAAAACCTAAAATAATATAAATATAAAATTTAAAAAAATATCTTAATTTTTTTATAAGACTACATTGAAAAAATATTTCAACAATCAATATATACACACACACAAAAAACAAAATCAATAATATTAAGTATAAAAACATGTATTTGAATTATTTGATAATTCTTTTAAAATATTATTTTATTTAAAATAAATTAAATTTAGAATATCAACAATAATTAATAAGAAATAATTGATGTTATATATGTAGATGCATAATTAATTTTTAATAAAATCAATTATCTCAATACTTTTTTGTTGTCTACATTACCATAATCTATAAAAATTTAAAAATATGTTTAAAAAAACTTAATTTATAAAAAATATATTGAAGTTAATATAGTGCAATAAAAATAATTTAAAATTGTATTCCAAAAAAATTGATTACATCAACAATAAAGTAAAGAAACACGTGATTTCTATTATTTATTAAAAAAACATATTGAAAATTCATACACATAGAAAGATAAATCATATTTATTAACAAATAAAATTTCATAAAAAATAAAAAATTTAATTTAATGAGAATTTTTATAATAAACAAAAAATTTAAAAGATTAATTTTAATCAATAAAAAAATACAATCCGATATATGTGTTTGTTCTAAAATTTAAAAACATGAAAGGCCAAATACATTTTTAAAAAATACGAGGAACAAAAAATATATTTTAAAAAAATGTGAGATGACAATGTACTAAGTTAAAAACATGAAATGTCAAAACATTTTTAAAAATATGAGAATTTAAAAATACATTTTAAAAACATTACATATAACTAACAAAACTGAGATATATCCATAGTAAATGAATAGTACCCTAGTTCTCTCTCTTTTTTTTTTTTTTTTTTAATGCTGGGCTGACCAGCAGCCAAGGCCTGGCTATTGGCTGCCCAGCCTGGCCTCTTTCTCACTTTATATATATATATATATATATATATATATATATATATAAGTACCTCAGTTCTCTTCTTTTTGCCTTGTCTGGGTTGACCTCTTTCTCTTATATATATATATTAAGTTACACTTGTCACTCTGAAACATTTTTAATTTCTTATTTTATTACAAATTTGTAATGATTTATAATTTTTTGATATAATTTTATTTATTGATAAATTTGTTTTGAAATAATTTTATTTGTTGATAAATTTAGTTTTTTAATATATGAATTTTGGGATAAAATTTTAAAACATCAATGTTTTATTTTTTAAAATATTTTATTATAATTTATAAAATAAATTATTTTTATATTTTTAAATGAGTGTTTTATTTTCTAATATATATATAGAGAGAGAGAGAGAGAAGCTAAAAGCATGTTTTAGATAGTTTGACTTAATTTTTTTTAAAAAAATAATAACGAGTTAAAAAATTCACAAGTTTTATTTGCTTTTTTATATACATTTATTCAGAATTTATCAAAACCAATTTTATTGTTATTTTTATTTTAGAACATCAATATCTTATTTTTTAAAAATATGTTATTATAATTTGTGCAATAAATTATTTTTTTATTTTTAAACGAGCGTTTTATTTTTTAATATACATATATATATAGAGAGAGAGAAAGAAAGAGAGCTAAAAGTATGTTTTAGATAATTTGAATTATTTTTTAAAAAAAATATTGAGCTAAAAAATTTACAATTTTTATTTGTTTTTTTATATATATTTATTCAGAATTTATAAGAATCAATTTTGTTATTATTTTTATTATAATCTATTAAATTCAATATATTTCTACAATTTAGGTAGATTTTTTTTTATATTTTCTATTTATTCTATATACTATCAATCTGTTTTATATATATATATATATATATATATATAGGTTGTCTATCGACAGCGTAGCGCAGATATCTAACTAATAAGGAATTAAAAAAGAATGAAGTATAAATTTTGAAAATGAATCCCAAAAAACTATAAGAAAACTGTGAAAATGCTATTATAAAAAATCACAAAACTGCCACCCTATGAACAGTAATTTACTTAATTAATTGATAATAGTTGTACCGCTCTCTCTAACCGATAGATTTCGCAAATGAACAGTCAATCAGAAAGTAGGATAGTCTATTTTTTGTTTGAAAAGGAAATATAAGAACCTGGTTGGTGGTCAGAATCGGTTGTCCTTCCAGCCGCCTCAGTCGATACTTAAACACCGTAAATCCAGATAAACCTTTCTCTGCCCAATATTGAACAACCTGTAAAACAGGCAGAAACACTATCAGTAGAAATCAGAATAAGTAATCGTTGTCGAACCATGTATAGGAAGAGATAGCAAAATACAAGAGGTATGCATGAGAGAGAGAAGAAAGAAAGAAATGTGCAATTGTCCCCTATGTGCTATGTGTAGGCCCAACATGGATTCCTCTTGCCATTACAGTATATGTCCTCTGCCAAAAGTCATAGGGTGATTATTGGGGAAGTTCTTGTTTTCCCCATCACTGTTAACAAAAAGTTCACAATATGGACGATCTTTAATAGAAAAATAAGGTTCAAACTTTTTCTTCTGACAAATGGTTGAGACTGGCTGGTACTTCAGAATAAAAGGTGAAAATATGAAGGGTACTAGTTCAAAGTAGTTCTGTATTGAAATGGACCAGCATTATGGACAGAGGGAGTTATTGGCTAAGAATTGAACTTCATGGTGTCAACCCTTACAGATGTTCAATGAAGTTTGTTTTTCCCTTACAAACCGAGAAAAGAGCCCATGTTAAACTTAAAATGGTTCGCAAAAGCAATAGATGATTTTCATTTGATTTCAATTAAGGTAATTGCCCTTTAAAAATTTGCAGCCTGCAAAATAGGTAAATGGAGCAGCACCCATGGAACCAAATAAAGGGAATATTTACAGTTGCCTTCTTACTTATGTGGCTGCTCACCCTCCATCTTCTCATTTTCAATTATACCCTCAGTCACCAAAATTAGACAATATTCTACATTAATTTCTCTGAGAAAACAAGAGTTTGACAATCTATAGTCTAAACCTCATTCCACCAAGATCTTATGTAGATAAAACTGAAAGAGAGAACTTAAGTTTAAAAAAGGAAAGCAAAAACAAAATCTGGGGCAAACTAGGAATCAACAGTCAAAAAGGGTCACAACAGATCTCATACATTTTCCATTCAAGTTTTTTTCTCACAACTTATTGCATCAATTTAATTGGCACAATAAGCACACAAATAGAATGTGAATTAGAAATCTACCTTGTACAAGCCATCATAGGTGTAAACTTTGCCACAGTAGCTGCTGGCACATTCATGGCCACGAACAACCCGTATAGGAACACATTGCTCCACACAATTCTGCAATTAATTGCAGAAAAAGCAGTAATGATGCAGTGAGATTTTAATTCCAACGCCAAACCATAGGATCCCGCATTAGTATACCAGCCCAAAGCAATGGCCTAGAACGTAAAGCAACATAACAAAACTAAATGCCCTAATATAAATTGAGCATCCAACTTAAAAATTGAACTAATTAGGGTAGAAAACAATAATCAAATATGCCATATAAGGCCATAAAACTTTATACATTGTTAATACAGGAATACTAACAAAATAGCTACAAGTTCACACGCCAATAGTAGAAGAGAAATACACATCAAGGAGGTGTTAGGTTTAAGTTAATTGCACCTTCAATGCCAAATTACCACGTTCCAACTTTTGGTCACGAATTTGACGCTTATTTCCAGTTAAATCATGCCCACCTTGACCAGTATAGACAACATCCTCAGCATTATCCAGATCATCCTCATACATCCCCGATATAACAATGGCTACAGCAAGTGGGAATGCATATTTATGGTACACCTGTAAATTTGGAAGGAAAATTGGTTGTAACATCAATTTGTATCCTGTAATGTACAAATTGATTTAGTCAAGAATCCTCCAATAACTAATATTTATTGACATAAAAAATTTATATCACAATGTTCTGAGAAAATATGATGTTCCACCTACTGAGCCATAAAGCAAAAAAAAAAACTTAAATTGTTGGTAACTTAGCATAGATCATCCAAAGATGCCCTAAATACATAATAGGATATCTGAAGCACGAAGCCAAAAAAAAGGGAATTAAGTTTCATTCATTGGTTCACTTGTCTAATTCCAAGAAATACAGAATATCAAATCACAACACCACGTAAAGATACTGTGTCCATATAAAAATGGTGAAAAAAACAACCATCTACATTTGTCTGAGATCAGCACTCGTTTTAAATTCTGAAGAACATGTCATACAAGTTCATATTCAAACCTTGCATTTAACGACGATTGTTGATATTCCAATAATTTGCAAACACCCAGTCATAGCAAAGAATAAGAACAGCAAAAGTGTTTGGATAAACATGAATCTAATTCGTGCAACATTCCATAGGCTAAAACAGAGTTATACAGACAATGATGGACTAGAATAATATTGAGGGACAGGATAAAGACATGCTTAAACGACATCCTTCATTCTAAATGACACTGATAAAAAAGAGTACTACAACAATGTAAAGGTAAAGAGCTAAGAGCTAGTACCCTCCCTATTAGAAGAATATCACATCATAATCAATACAAAAGGGCAATAAAATCATATCAAATATCTGCTATAGATACTCCTAGGAAAAGCTCCAGAACATAATCAAGAAACTACTATATTTCACAGTATATACTAATAAAAGGAATAGTTTTTAAGAACATGTGATTTCCAATCCATCCAAATACACAAACAGCAGCAAATATAATACATATCCATGAAGCAGGAGCCTTCTCCCATACCAAAACCTACCAGATTCACAAAATAAAAAGTTGTTTACCCTACTCAGAGCCACTGACTTCTCCCCACAAAAGGCAAATAGAAATAGTCTATTCCACATATCATAGGGAATTGAACAATGCAAAACATTGGGGGTTTTTTTTTTTGGGGGGTGTGGAGGTTGATCATACATCTCCTGATTGCCAAAAGAATAAGAATAATAGTAACAGTAGAAATAAAGATGATGTTTACCCCCTTCTTGTAGGACTGCCCCATATAATCAATTCCATTCAGCCAGTGGCTATGAAAACCAACAGCAACCATTTCAGCTCTGGAATAGAACCGGTGCCCAACATCGATACCTGCCAACAATTAGACCTCAAAATCATTCCCAGCATTAAACAGGTGCATATTTCAGAATCACACACATAAAAAGGAGATACTAAAAGTTATATTCTGCTTATCCAAGTCAAACAAAAGTGTGAGTGGTCAAAAACAATAGAAATACAAGTTACCAACCTGGAAGATCGCCAATTCTTTTTGTGGGATACATTATAGCATTAGCTTCCAACATCTGCCAAAATTTTTATTTTCAAGAGAAAATAGAGATTATTTCCGAATTAAAATACTCAGAACATAACATCAGGTTTTTCTACAATCAGTCCCATTCAATTTAAATACAAAGTATAGAATTTCGACAGGAAAAAAAAAGACAAGAAACTTCCCTGCATCCTCATGTCAATAACATCAAGATGCAAAGGTTATAATCGTCCAAATATACATATGACCAAGAGATAAATAGTAAATGTAATTCGATCTTCATAAATCTCTCGAGATATTTTTTTACGAAGTTTTTCAAATACAATTAGTTGTACTAAATCGGAAAAAGTATAATTAGTTCAAATAATTAAGAATGCTAAGCGTTAAAGAGTAATATAAATTATATTATTGAGCCTTACCTAACAGCTTAAGCTTTTAGGTGAAATGGTCCTTTAACATGGTATCGTAACTTAGTTGACCAAGAGATCCCGAGTTCAAGTCTCACCACCTCCAATTTCTCAAGTATTAAGCACAAGGCAATATGAACCCGTGCAAGTTTCAAGCCCATATGTTGGAGCTTTCACTTGAAGGGATGTATTAGAAAGTAATATAAATTATATTATTGGGTCTTACCTAACGAGCTTAAACTTTTAGATAAGATAGTCCTTTAACACTAAGGAACCTAGTAGTGGTAATGAGTACACCAATAATTAGGATTTTGATAGGAAAAAACATTGATTCAATCTTTAGGCGATTAACACTAAAATATAAGGCAATTTTAACTGAAGAATTTAAAATCACGAACTTACAAGGTGCGCAAGTCAAACAAAGAAGAAGTACACAATATTCATCCATTCATAACAAGCATAGCAATCAAGAAAGGTGGAATTGAACCTAAGACAAATTATTCATAAACAGTAGCTCTAACAGAGTAGGTAAAATTCTAAAAGAGCCACAAACTCATTGAACCTAAATACCTTAGATATTGCCTTTAAATCAGGACGCTTGGCTTTTTTCTTATCTTCTTCAGCTGGCTTTTCTTTCTGCACCAAAATTGTAGATTAGCATGCATCTGAGGAAATATGCACTATCCAAATCACAAAATAACATTCCACTTGTTAATATATTTGAAAATCAACAAGGCACAAATATATTAGCAAACATTACGAGAGAATATTTCAAAATGCAGAATTAAAGAACAATTCCAATCACGAATGACAGCAAAGAAATTGATTCAAACTTTGCTTGGTGTCAGAATACCAATTTAACATTCTCAATGCTTGAAAACACAGTCAATCACTCAAATGCTCCAACTCCAAAGACATTCATAGCTCCAAGAGATGGATGTGGCATGATGATGCAACCAAGAAAAGAAAAATTTATAAGTTATTTTAGATGATTTTAGACTTTAAGATTTCTTGTCAACCTAGTGATGCGGACAACAAAAGACTAAGATTTATGTGTTTTATTTAAATTTTAGAACGCAAGGGTATTTTAGTATTTTTCCAGTTAGAAATCTATGTAGGTCTAGGCTTTATTTCTGTTTAGTATTTTATTAGTCCTAAATTACTAGGTTTTCCTATTCTAAATAGGAATAGTTATATTAGAGGTTTAAGAATCCCTATCCTAATTGGATTTGGATTTCTAAAACTCTATAAATATAGCATGTAGCCTTTCAATATTCAATATGCAATAATATCAAATAATTTTCAGCAATTTGCTTTTGATTGTGTGACTCAATCTCCCTTAGGTGTGACTCCTAAGAACACTAGATGTGAAGCTTAGGTTTTCTATGCTCTAAGTGTGATCCCTAGAAACCCTATTAGTGTGACTCTAATAGTTCTATAATTCCCAGTACAAATTCACATCAATACAGTCCTAAACAACCCAAAACCTCATTCAAAGATCAGATCCAGAACAGCCCCTAAGCTGTCCTACATCAGTTGGTTTCAGAGCTTCAAGATCCTAGGAGTTTTTTTTTGTTTTCTTCAATCATGCTGACTATGAATGAAGTCAATATAAAATTTAAAGCCTTTCAACTAGAAGCTGAAGCAAGCAAGAAATCTATGGATGAAAGATTGGACAACATTGAAGAAAAATTCGATTCCAGACTTGCAACAATAGAGGACAGATTTGATTCCAGATTTGCAGCAATAGAGGCATCAATTGAAAGGCTTTCAAAAATTTTCCTAGGAAAGCAACCTGCTGCTACAACAGCTAATAACTCTTTTCCACAAATCAAGGTGTTATGGCTACCCCGAACCTTAACCAGCCAGAGCCTAACAAAATACCGCCTGTAGTAGCCTCATCAAAGCAATCTTTAACACAAAAGGTAGAAACTCATCCTTCTTTTCCTCCTCAAACTCAATATCAAGAAAATTCATGGATGAATGATATAAATAAAGGTATTAAGCTTGATGTTAGTGATTTTCATGGAGAAAGTAATCTGGAGGAATTTCTTGATTGGTTACATGGTTTGGAAAGTCTCTTTAAGTGGTATCACTTGGGTGATGAGGAAAAAAAATTTTTTGCAAAAGCCAAGTTGAAAAGGACAGCTAGAATTTGGTTGGAAAAATTTTAGCAAAGTCATTATGCTACCCTTCGAACTTGGGAAGATATGAAGATTGCTACGACCCGTTATTTTGTACTGCCTAATTACAAGCAACGAGTTCACATGCAATTGACACAAGGAAGTTTAAGTGTCGAGAAGTACACTAACAAATTTTTCAGCTTAGCAACAAGGTCAAAATTTCCATGAAATGAAGATGTCATGATATCTATGTATCGGCAGGAGCTGAATTTACAAATTTTTATGGTTTAGCTACTTGTAGGCTTTATACAATGGCTAATGCAGTTCAAGTTGCTGCTTAGATTGAGGAAGAAGCTAAAAAGAAAACTTTTATGAGATTTACAACCACTTCCTATGGTAAGAATGAAAGGTCAGCCATTAACTTAAGTAAAGAAGGAATGTCAATCCATTCACAACCTGTCAACCATCCTAATGGTTCAATGCCTTCTTCTAATATAGCCCCTACCAAAGGTAGAAACAACAGAAGACCTGTTCGTTTTAAGTGTGGAGAACAAGTACATATGGGTTACCAATGTCCTACGAAAAAAAAAATTGCATGTTGGGATTGCACAAGGAAAGGAAGCTGCAGAACAAGAATCTGATTTGGCTGGAAATTCTTTAGATTTTGGGGTCTATGAGGCAGATGACCTTGATGATGATAAAGATGCAATCACATGATTTCAAAACTCAAGGTCGAGTTTTCTCCAAGCTGGACAGGATGATGCGAACGACAAAAGACTAAGATTTATGTGTTTTATTTAAATTTTAGAATGCAAGGGTATTTTAATATTTTTTTAGGTTTGCTGGAAATCTATCTAGGTCTAGGCTTTATTTCTATATAGTATTTTATTAGTCCTGAATTACTAGGTTTTCCTATTCTTAAATAGGAATAGTTATAGGTTTTCCTATTCTAACTAGAAATAGTTATGTTAGAGGTTTAGGAATCCATGTCCTAATTGGATTTGGACTTCTACAAAACTATAAATATAGCATGTAGTCTTTCAATATTTAGTATACAATAATATCAAATAATTTTCAACAATTTGCTTTTGATTGCGTGACTCAATCTTCCTTAGGTGTGAATCTTAAAAACCACAGGTGTAAAGCTTAAATTTTCTATACTCTAGGTGTAATTACTAGAAACCATATTAGTGTGAATCTAATAGTTCTATAATTCCCAGTACAAATCCACATCAATACAAACCCAAACAGCCCAAAACCTCCTCCAAAGATCAAATCAAAAACAGCTCCTAACCTATCCTACATTACCTAGTGTATTTATGAATTCATCATACTTAGAAACATTAGTACTATCTAGTAATCTTAGCTTATTCAGGAAATTAAAAATCCTTTAGGAGTAGCTAGTATTTATGGTTTTCTATTTCCAACTTAGTTTAAGACAACTAGTTCTATAGAGGAACACTTATACGTATGTATTTCATAAAGGACTTAGGATAAAGGAATTTTAAGGTTGTGGTTTAATTTGAAGATAGCTACCTAGTGCATTATCTCCTCAGCTAATTACAGAAATTCTCTAATTAATAAGCAACATTTCCTTATGCAAATTAATGTTAGAGAGTAATATACAAATATTCATAGGAAATCACTTAACGACTTAAGCTTTTAGGTGAGAGGTTACTTTGACATTGTATCAAAGCCTCAAAAGAAACCGAATGGCCCGAGCAAAGATCATGGAGCCCAAGCCACTTGACAAACCGCAAAAAATAGATTACAAATGAAGGAAAGTGTTAGAGTACATATATTACATTGAATAGTTAAAAAAAAAAAGAGAAATATAAAGTTAAGAAAGGACTACCCAAGTACAAAGCTTAAGTCTTTTAGATGGAACCCATTCTCAACTATCTAACACTATATGGTATCAAAACTTAATTAACCAAGTGGTATTGAGTTCAAATCTCACCATCAACAATTTCTCAAGTATTGAACACAAGGTAATATGAACATGTGCAAGTTTCAACCCCAAATGTTTGGGTTTTCACTTAAGGTGTATTAGTAATGTAAAACTATTCATAGGGCATCTGCCAACAGCTTAAACTGTGATTGCCATTCCTTCAAGAAAAACAATTCCTTCACTCTTTGCACCATTTCTTCACAAAGACTCCATTTTAGAACCTGCATGAAACTACACCTGAGTTTCAACCATGTTTCCATCAAAACCATTTCTTCAATGAGAATACTTCCTTCACTCTTGTACCATTTCTTCACAAAGGCTCTATTTTAAAAAATTAACACGATTCTTTACATTTTTTATCGGGTTCCTTTCTAGCCTTATCATCCTCCTCGAGATCCCCAATCAGCCTTCATGCTAAAATATAAACCAATTGATAAAAAACAAAGCACTTGATCTCTCAAATACTGCCCATAGCCCAGATTCTACTAAACATTCTCGCTAGTGATATTCAAGTAAGAGCTTCCAGAGCATCTCTATCCCCATCGACCTCTAAATGGATAGGAAATTGCATATGAGAAGATCGAGAAAATAATGTTTCGTTTCAAGGCACTCTAATGGCATCACAATGTAATTACTCATATGGTTACTTGAAAGATGCCAATTGACAAATGATTACCACTTGACAAACTTAAGCATATGAAATGTAAAAAGGGTGAACAAGGGTAGTAAATCAATCGACAGCAACATAGAAAAAGGCAAAGAATCTTGCATAACTGATGCAAAAGGCAGAAGGAGAAGCTAACCTTCGATTTATCAACTGATTTTTTTGAACCTTTGGAGGTCTTTTTTGGAACTTTGGAGACCTTTTTATCAACTTTGGCTTTCGCACACCTCAGCTCTTCTTCCTATGCAGCATAAAAAAAGAATGCTTACTCCGTCAGCTCAAATTAAAAGAAACATAAAAACAAAATCTTCAAAGAGTAACACAGAAACAAGCCATGACACTAAACACGCAACCAAATCAGGCCAAATAAGCAGCCCATTTTGAAACCACTCAACTCAGTACCTGAAATCACGAAAGAGAAAACCCAAAAAGAAAACAGTAAGCGTAGCAAAAACAAAACACGAGTATGAGTAGGTAAAAATGTGGGTGGGTTTAAAGAGAAGAATACCTGCACTAACTGGAGATAAAACTTGTTAAACAACCTTAAAGTGTCCTTAACTTTAACGGTAGCACTTTTCTCAGCCACCATATTACCCGCACCTTTCCCAGCCACCACATTACCAGCACCTTTCTCAGCCACCACATTACCCGCACCACCAGAATCACTTAAAGTCGCCTCCTTTTGCACTTCAGTTGACCCCAAAACCTGATTTACCATCTTTTCAGCCATCACAACCTCCTCCTCCTCAGTCACATTAACATTCGGTCTCTTTCTAGGGTTTCCTTTTTCTTCTTGCTCCTCCAAAATCTGTACTCTCTTTCTCACCAATTTCTCCTTCTCTTCTCTCTGCTTGCTCTTGATTCTATCACTCGTCCTCCTCTGCGCCTCTGTTTTTTCTGCTACTTTGCTCTCTTTTTTGCCATTTTTAGCAACCGATTTCTTTCTATGACCATTGCTCACACATTGCTCCACCATTTTCACCTGAGAGATTCAACCGCAGAAGGGAAACCAAAACACACCTGTGGAGTTAGGGATTGCGAGGAGAGATTTCGAATTTTGATTTTTTAAGGCTTTGATGGAGAATGGGGGAAGTGGCGCGCGTGAGATGGAAAATATTTTGGAAGTGACAGATGGATAGTGACGGTGAAACAAAAAGGCGACAAAGGAAGGAAAAGATCGGTCTCGTCGGTTATTTATCTCGATTACTGTATGTACCGTCCCAGCACGTGCGGTGCGACAAAAATTTTGGCTTTTTTGTTTTTAATTTTTACGATCTCCCACCCATTTTCTACTTCTTCCCGCGCCTGAAAGACGAAAAAAGAAACACTCTGATTCAGGGGTTCTCGTGTTTGAAAGTTTCCGGTTGTTTTCATAAGTTGGTATAAAGCTAAACACGAGTTGATTACCCATATCATGTCAGACATCAAATCAAAAATATAAAATTATTTTAATTTAATAATTCATGTTATATTATCGATCCATCAAAATATATTAATAAAAAAATAAAAAATTTCATTCGATTTTTTAATTTTTTAATCAAAATTTCATTTTTTAATATATTTTTATATCAAAAAACATAATTTATTTTTTATTCATAAATTATTAATTAAAAACTTAAAACAATCTAAAAAGAAGTTTAATCCGAAATAAATAAATAAATCATTGTATTTTTTTTATAAGACTAAGTTATTAAAATAAAATAACAACTAATGTAAAAACTTGTATAAAAATAAATATAAAAAAATTATTTTTTATTCTTATTTAATGTTATGATAAAATTGGTTTTTAAAAGTTTGTATATTTAATTTTTGATATATTCATTCATAAAATTATCAACAATATTAAAATAAAAATTGTATTTAAATGATTGATTGTTCCGCAAAAGCATGATTTTAATTATTTAATTTGAAAAAATTGATTCCATAATACCAAAAATAAATAAATAAATAGTAAATTGTTTGTTTTTGTGTTATTGCATGGTTAATTTCTTATAAAACTAACAATTTAATATGTTTTTTATTTACATGATAACTATACTCGAGTATGTTTATAGTTTGCAACATAAAACAAAAAATATTAAAAAATAATAGTTAATCTGTAAGTAATATATTAAATATATTTGACGTTAACGGAATAAAATAAAAACTATTACAAAATTTATTTTAATAAATTTTGATTATGTAGAGAAGTAGCAAATAAAACAAATGAATTCTTTTTTTTCCTTCTTGTTTTTTTAAGGATAAATTTTTAATAGGTCATGCATGGTCAATCCTCGTGCACAAGCTTGCAAAGCGATGATTTCAAAATCCATCATCTAATTATATCATTTATATTTAAAAAAATTAGAAAAATAATCATGTTGTAAAATTTTATGCCAAAATTCATTTGTAAATTAAAAAAATATAATTGTTTGTAAATAAAATTTATTAAAAAATAAAAATAAATTAAATGAAATTTTTCATATGAAATCATAAATTAAAAAAATAAGTTTTAAATAATAAGAGTAATATAATAAGAAATATATATTCATTTTAAAATATAAAAATATATCATATATATTTCTTCCTCTTTAGGATGTTGAGAAACCACAAAAATAACGATAGATTATCGGTGATTTTCTCTCAATAATCCATAATAATAAAATTAAAATAAATTGATGAAAAAAAAAGGCAAAAGTCCAAAAAAAAAAAAAGACTCTAGGAAAAAAAGAAATAATTTGAGACAATAAACAATAATTCTTAGCATAAAAAAAAACTAGAGTCGTAACAAATTCATCCGTATTTAACCAAACATGACAATTTTCTTTATATTTATATCTTTTTTTATCTTTTTTTCCCTAACCAATCTATTAAAAAATCATAAAGTTTAGGAAAAAAAATAGAATTCGATCAATCTAATTAGTTTACCAAATGAACGAAAGGAAAACTGGAGGGTGTTAAAAATATTAACGGCTTTTCTAATCTAATTTTGGAAATTTATTCATCAAAGAGCTTTATCTCGTTGGTTTAATTAGAAAAAAAATTACCTTTAAACTATTAGGTTATGACAATTCATGGTCTATGCTATCAATTTAGGACATTTGGATAATAAATTATTTGTTTTTGGGCAAATTTTATCTTTCTTCATTGTTGCCAACAGTTCCTTTTTTTTAATTAATTTTTTTTAATAATAGTTAGTTTTAAGGAAAACTTAGATGATTTGGTTGTTTGTGAATTAAATTTTGTTATTAGATAATTAATGACATGTAATTGATCCATTTAGTTAAAAAATACATATTTTGTTAAGAATTTAAATTAATTTCAAAAAAATATTTAATATTAATTAGCATAAGGTATCTTAGATGATTTTTTTTATGGATCTTGCTTTTGTTGTTAGATAATTAACAATGCGCAAGGGATCTATGTATTTTAAAAAACGAATATTATTATTATTTTAAATAAATTATTTTTAATTCCAAAATGAATTTGAAATGTTTAAAATGACGTTATTTTAAGCATTTTAGTTAATAATAAATACTTTGACTATCAAAAAATGCTTAAAAATGATCAATCTGCAAAATAATTAATAGTTTGAGGTTCAAACAATCCAAGTTGACAAAGTAAATCTTATTTTACAACAATTGTAATAGTTTTTGGGTAGATTTTACCATTATATTAAACCATATTTTAGTTAACAATAAACATTTTGAACTTTACAAATGTCGCTACCCAACGTTTAGGTGACTTCCAAAATATTCGATTAAAAATTATTTCTTTTATTTATTTTTTATTGTTTACTCGAATGTGAGTTAAACCACGTTTTGGAGTTGCCGCCTCATATTAAAGGAACCGGAAAACCTAAAAATGACGAGTGTTTCATAAATTTGAAATTAGGAAGTTCGATAGGCTTTTAGAAAGATTTCAATCGCCTAAAAGCACCCTTTTCAAGAAAAAGTACCGTGTCTAATCTAATTCTAAAATTTATCTCTTAAAAAAAATTATTTTTGCCAAAATATTTTCCAATCAATTTTCAAGTTTATTACCTAAGTCAAATTAATATTTTTAATTTTGTTTATGGCATCACATTAAATCGATCATTAGATCTAATTGTTAGGAGTCTCGTCCATTCAACATTAGATCAAGTTTAAGTCTTGATATAATTGATATATCTTAAAATAATGTTGAAGGAAAAACATCCTACGGAGGAACAAAATAAAAATAACTTTTGTTTCCTCTCGATCTAAAATCCAAGATCACCGTTGAATCAAATAATCATAATAAGAAGTTTTGATCATTACCTCTTGAAACGAAGTCACGTGGTTACGGATTGAATCATCCAAATATCCAATCTATAGTGATAATCCACGTAACTTTAGACAACGAACACGAGATAGACAAAATTTGAGAATGCTAGCTCTACTTTATTTGAACAATGAAAAATTCCATACTTTTGATTTTGGAGAAATTTCAGCCAATTGTACTCTCTTTTAAAGTGAGTGGCTTGACGCATCATTTTATTTATAAAATCCTCATTTAGGTTTTAATGAACTTTTCCCAAAAGTTCTCAAAAAATTCATTCTACTTAAAATGCTCCTTATAGGCTTTCATTTAAACATCTTGGGTGCAATGACTCAACAATAGGTGGATCATATAAATAAACTGAAGTCGAGAATTATAGGAATTCCATTTTAGAAAACTATTTTATAAATTATCCTTATTGAATTTTGGGAAACGATTTTTCTAAAATTATATATGTAAACAATGGTTCAAAATAATTGGTTTAGGTTATATACGCACATATGAAACACAATGCATTAGTAACTAGCTACATAGATAAGTGTTTAGTTTTTTTACCAATTCGTGATGACAAAACTAATCATAGATTGCCATATTTATGCAGTATTTTAATATTCAATGATGTAGAGGCATGTGAGTTTGTGTTTTTTATGTGTATATTTCGAGTATATGAAAAAGAAAATTTTAGCGACAATTCTTGAAAAACATGAAAAAAAAAAGAAAAAGAAAAATCTAATACAACATTTGTTCCCAAAAGTTATCAAAAAATTTTATGCACTTAAAATACTCGTATAGACTTTCATTTAAATCTATTGGCCTAACACATTGGGCTCAATGTCTCGACAATAGATGGACCATGCAAATAAGTTAGGTTGAGAATTTTAGGAATTCCAATTTAATAAACTATTTTGTAAATTACCCTTACCGAATTTCGAGAAACAATTTTTCCTACACACACACACACAAAGGTTCAAAATAATTAGTTTAGGTTATTCATACACATATGAAACCCAATGCTCTAATAACTAGCTATCTAGACCGAGTGTTTTATTTTTACCAATAACCGATCATAGACTATCGTATTTATGCATTATTTATTATTCAACGATATAAAGGCATGTGAGTTTATGTTTTTTATATGTATATTTCAATATATGAAAAATAAAAATTTAGCGATAATTCTTGAAAAAAAAAGAAAACTAAAATTATTGTTCATACAAACACGAGTTTACTATAAATTCATTGTTCACACTTCTCTTATTTTTTCAGCTGCAGACTCTCTCTTTTCTCATGAGTCAATAATTCCTATAATCCACAACTTCCCTCCGTACTTTGCTACAACTCCCGTAGCACAACCTCACCTTGCATAGCTTCCCTCTACCGCCACTAGCCCCCTTATCACCGTCATAACCAACCTCACACCATATCCCGTAATAAAAAATCTCACACCATCATGATAGAGAACCAATATAATTACATGTATAGATAACGAGTAAGAAACACAAACAAAGGAGTTGGTTAGTTTAAGAGGAAAGGATTTTCGGGAAAAAAATAACATTAGCTAAAAAAAAAAGAAAACCCAAAACTGAAAAAAAAGGAGAGAGACTGAATTTACATTAACCGAAGTCGCAATTCATATCATCTTCAATCAATTCTACTATGTAACCTCCTTTAATGTTCTTAATTTCGATTTTACTCCCA